ACTGTTCCCGCTCTCCCACCCGCACTGCCGCTGTCCCAAGGCCTGTTCTTGACCGCCTGCGTTTCTCAGCCGTACCGCACCAAACAGCAGGCGCGGCTGTTTCACCATGCCGTGATCTGGGCAGCCTGCACGAAGCCAAACCGTATCAACTTAAGCTGCAGCATCGAGCCTTACCTGCTGTCGTCTGTTTACCTTGTTGGCTGTCAAACAGCACCTGCTGTTGGTGCTGTTTCATCTCTCCCAGCAGCCAAAACCCCATCCGTCTACCGGCAAAACCCGAGGGATTGGAATTTCTCATAAACCCGTCAAGGTGAGTTCATACTATATGGTCATCTTATTTTATCTAAATTGTTATATGTCATATGTGCCGACACTCTTAATGCTTAAATCTTTTTACCTTAGGATGATTTATAGACTTGGGTCACAATTTAGAGACCGTGGATGATTGTGGCTTGGTCTATCAAAGRCCCAAATTTTACTTGAAAGATGAGGACCGATTACGAACCGTCTAAAAACCGTGGGAACCAATATAAATTGTTCGTAGAGTTACACTCGGTGTGTAGGTGGTGTTGCACTACCTTAGAAAATCATTTGAGTTTATCTTTGATGTTTTACGTTTTACATCCTTAGGCTTGGGTTATTACTTTAAATAACTTATATACTCGGAGTGTTAAGTAGTACGGACTTGGAGGTCAATTATTTTATTAAGTGTCAGTGGTGAGTTCATCTTAACCCTTCTTTATGAAATTTACATTATTGTAAGAAGCTCGTACTTACCCTATGCCTATAAATTTCATATATTTACTTGTTTAGATGAAATGAGCATCATCGGATCAAATGAACGAACTTGGGTAATTTCGTTTATCGTGGTAAGTTGAGTTTAGATAATTATCCTAAATCACTTGGTAAAATACTCATAGAGGTTGTGGATGGCATTTTAGCTCTAAAACACTCATGCCCTTAGTTTATCTCACTTGAGYTTGGATACACTCGAAGTCACCCTGTTAATGGGAATACTAAGGTGTTTTTGGCACTGTACTTAGGTACCGAACTGGGATGTAATGAACCTAAAGGTGTGCATAGTCGTGTTATTTGTTTGTGTGAAGGATGGTATAAGTTGGTGATAGGCGTTGTGATTATTATGTAATCACCAAATCATCCTCTCACTTGCACTCGGTAATAGGCATTGTGATTATTATGTAATTACCAGTGCATGTATATCGTTATATTTTATTCGTGGGAAGGATGGTGTAAGTTGGTGATAGGCATTGTGATTATTATGTAATCACCAAATCATCCTCTCACTTTCACTCGGTAATAGGCATTGTGATTATTGTGTAATTACCGAGGTAAAGAGCTTATGATCACAACCGACTACATGACTGGTTTAGGTTGATGTCGATGGTATTAAACCTATGAGTGATGCTCTATAACGTTGATTTATGACTTACTTTGTGTCTGTCATAATCAACGGTAAATCGGGCCTCCCCCGTCATCTTCGGATGTTTTATTGTTCCACTTCGAGTTATTCAGGTCTTACTGTCTCTTTTCCAGTTTAAAGTTACGTCAACTATTTACATGTGTATATTTATATATGTTCCTTTATGTTTACTTAAACTTTTTTTGTTTGGACTCACTAGGCGTAAGCCTAACCCTCTCTCTTTCTTGTTATATTTCATCTTAGGTTCCTTTAGCGATGGGGCTCTAAAGGGTTGAGAGGAGCGTTGGTTCGTGAAACACTCTTTGTAATTTTAGCCTTTAGTCCTCTTGCGCGATGCGTTTTTGGATATTTCGACATTGTTGGAGACTGATAGAAACCCCCGTCTTTAATCTAGATCTAGAATGTTCTAGATTAATAGGTTGTTATTTATCATCTCGATTAGCCGGATTGTAACCGCCATACTATTTCTTTTGTTAGATAAATTTTATTTTTGCTCTAAGCTCATATCGATGAATTTCGGATTTATGAATTTTTAGGGGCGTTTCACAGATCGCCCCCAGGGGTGATCCGTACATGTGGGGGGCGATCCACATTAGAATTCTTAAAAAAAAATTAAAAAAAATTCCTTAAAAGACGAGATTACCGTTCATCCTCAAAGACCGGGTTTGACCCTGCCGTAGGGGCGATTCAGACTGTCCCATCGCCCCCAGGGGCGATCCAGCCTTTTATTATTATTTTTTTTTATTTTTTTTGGTATTTTTAATAAAACTGATACGCCATTTAAGTTGTGTTTTTTAACTTTTTTAGAACCAAAATTCATGGGTAAAGGTTTAAAAATAAACCATTATAATTATGGAGACGCAAAAATTATTTTTATCTGTTTTGGGTTTCGTAAATCAGATATAATATCTGATTTACGAAATTTGACCTCTATTTCGTCATTTTGTGTTTTTTATTTAACAATTAAAGGGTGTTTTTAATAAAAATGGAAAAAATACATAAATTGTGTCTTTTTACGTATTTAATTTTAAATTTCTTGGTTTTTCGGCATGAACTAAGACAATGGTAATTGTGGTTACGAAAAACAAATTTAGCTGATTTTGGGAGTAAAAATTAGATATTATATCTGATTTCGCGGTTTTTCATGTTATGACACTCTATGACGTCAATTTGACGCCGATTTGATGCCGATTTGACGATGAATTTTGTTTTATTACTTAACGTTTTATATAAATTGGCGGTGGGGAACCATAAGTCACCATCCATCCCCACCACCGCTCGTTTTCTTTGGAAAAACCGAGCGAAAAACCGAGCTTTGAGCATCCCCACCGACCATCGCGACCAAGAACGACCACTATTCTTCGACATACCATCATAGACCACCGTATAACGACATCGGCGACCTTCCACTGCCACCGACCACCGTATAACGACATCGGCGACCTTCCACCGCCACTGACCACCGTGATCCGCCGCCGTCGGCCACCATCCGCCGCCACCGACCACCGTGATCCGTCGTCGTCGGCCACCATCCGCCGCCACCGACCACCGTNCGTCGGCCACCATCCGCCGCCACCGACCACCGTGATCCGTCGTCGTCGGCCACCATCCGCCGCCACCGACCACCGTCATCCGCCGCCATCCACCAACTTCCGCCGCCAACAACCACCGTCAAGCACCGCCATCCACACCCCTCCGCCGCCACCAACCACCGTCAACCGCCGCCATCCACCACCCTCCGCCGCCACCAACCACCGTCAACCACCGCCATCCACCATCGTCCGCCGCTAATATGGAAACACCGGTAAATACTCTATCTATCTCTATATGTATATGTATCTATCTATATATATGTATATGCATCTATCTATCTCTCTCTATATATATGTATCTGTCTATATATATATATATATATATATCTATGTACTGTTTATATCGCTTTTTTTACGTTATGCATCTCTCTCTCTCTATATATATATACGTTACCGCAATTTATATCGTTTTTTTTACGTAATGCATTTCTATATGTATATACTTTACCGCAATTTATATCGCTTTTTTTTACGTAAATATGTGTATGGGTTTTACCCCGTACACATATATACGTACATACATACGTGAAGATACATAAATATGTGTACGGGTTTTAACCCGTACACATACATACGTATAAATACGCACGTGAAGATACGTAAATATGTGTACGGGTTTTAACCCGTACACATATATACGTACATACATACGTGAAGATACGTAAATATGCGTACGCGTTTTAAACCGTACACATATATACGTATAAATACGCATGTGAAGATACGTAAATATGCGTACGGGTTTTAACCCGTACACATATATACGTATAAAATACGAAGTTTCAATTTTTGTACCGTTTATATCTTTTTTTACGTAATGCATTTCTATATATATACGTTACCGCAATTTATATCGCTTTTTTTACGTAATGCATCTATATATATATATATACATTACCACAATTTATGCCGTTTTTTTTACTTTATGCATCTATCTATATATATATATATATATATATATATACTTTACCGCAATTTATATCTCTTTTTTTACGTTATGCATCTCTCTCTCTCTCTATATATATATATATATACATTACCGCAATTTATATCGCTTGGTAGGACAGTGCATTGGTAGGTTCACGTAGGTTGTGACAGTGCATTGGTAGGTTCACGGGTCAAGGTGCCAGAACGAATCTTGTAAGCTTTATGTCAGCGACGATTTAACAAGTCATGCAGGTTCATGAACGGATTTGACCACACCATGCCAGCTACTAGACCAATCTTTTTTAAATCGTAAGGCCCGATAGTGTATAAAAGAGATGCCTTATGAAATCATATATCACAACTTCATATCAAATCTGATACAAGTACTTGTCCAGTTATTAAAAGAAATGGTTGGAAACTCATCGTCTTCTCAAACAATGCCTACAAGGATGAAGGCTTCGATTGAAAAGGCCGAAGCGGATATTAAGAAGGTCACCGATGACTGGTGGGCTAACAGGGAGAAACAAAACAAACACGAAGAATCTRTTGAAGAGAAGAAAAAAGCAATCAAGCAATTGCAAAAGGAGATTCGAGCGGAGGAAAAAATTGTGAAGGACATCGTGAATGGGTACCCAGTGATGCAAGAAATGATCAATGAAAAACAGTACTGGATTGAGTCTTGCAAACAACTTTACCCGGAAGGAAACTAGCATGAATGTTATGTATTAATGTTTTTGTTGTCGTTGATGTTTTTCAGTTTAATGTTACGTCTGAATGGTGTTGTTTCAGTTGATTCGTCAATGTATTAATGGTTAATGTTCATGCATTTCTAAATCAAACTTCCATTTCCCATTAAAACAACAAAAGTACACTTAAAAATCGTACATTTACTTACTTAAATCGTAAGTATCAAATACATAGTCTTGTGTAGTATCAGGTTCAGATGGACCACAATCGCTTGGACAACTAATTGATCTTCGACGACTACTTGAACTTCCGTGCGTCGGCCTAGGAGCTGGCATAGGACTCGGACAGTTATATCAAAAATGTCTACTCTGGCCACATCGACTGCAAGTTTTCACTATTGGGTCCTCGTCCCGTGACGGGATACGATCATGGTTGCATGGCCTGCCTGAGTTTTGTATGTCCAATGGAGGCGGTAGGACAGTCAAACGTTCGTTGGACAACACATATTCAACTTCTGGTGGAAGGGGAATGACTTCCTCCTCGTATATTGCAAGGTAAGAGCCGGAATTGAACCAAACAGAACAGAATTGACTGCAATCTTGAATATCTAAACTTCGAGCAACAGAAATCACATGACCACAAGCTATTTCATAAAGTTGCCATTGCATGCATGTACAAGTCTTAGCATGCAAATCACACATTCCTTTCTCATAGCGGTCGTCAACTTCAAACAACAAATCGTTGATGGGATATACCTTCCAATTTGCGCTCCTATGTATTCTCTTCTCTAATTTGGCCTCCGCCCAAGGAGTCACTGCATTCATCATTTGCGCTACAGATATTTGATATCATTAGCATATGTTACATAATCAAACATATAGTCAAAGGATGGTTGAATTTACCTCCGTTATGCCGACGTATGAAATACCATTGTTGCAATGTCGCCCGATAAAATTCAACTAACATTGTTATCGGAAGATAGCGTGCAAACCGTGTTACTGAGTTGATGGACTCAGCACTATTGGACGTCATTGCACTGTAACGCAATCAAGGGAAGTGCGATCGTGTCCATCTAGCATAGCCAACTTCCTCAAGATATTGAGCGGCTCTAGGCAGACTGTGCCGCATCAAATCCATAGTAGCTTCAAAGTCCGACAACCGGTAAGCTTTGCATGCCTTCCAGAACATCCACCGTTTCCTTTTCTCTTCAGCGGAGTTTAGGCAGAGGTTCTAGCTCAGATGCCGACAACAAAGTTTGTGGTGTGCAGAAGGAAATACAGTTCGTATGGCCAGGTCGATAGAGGCAGCCCTATCGGTGATGAAGGTTAAATTGGGCACATCACCGATGCACTGCCTAAGCTTACGTAAAAACCATGTCCATGATGGGCCACTTTCTGTCTTCCCCACTCCCATTGCAATGGGTACGATACCATTGTTTCCATCCATGCCGACCGCTAAGAACATGGTGCCAACGTACGACCCCTTCAGATGGGCACCGTCCATTATAAGAAGCGATCTCATGTGTCCTAGAAACGATCGAATCTGCAGATGAACGAGATTAAAAAAGTAATTTCAGAACATAAAATTATGACAATAATTATAAAATATGACAAAATTATTACCGAACAACCGAGTGCGACAAACAACATGTCGAATCGTCCAAGTGGATCAAGAGCGATCTCTGTCACAGTCCTCGGATTTGCTAGCTTCAGATTGTTACAATAAACCGGGAGTAGGTTAAACGACGATTCTGGGGTCCCCCTCAACAGTTGCAAGGCATACATCTTTGCTCGCCATGCTTGGTGGTAGGAGATGCTAATATTGAACTGTTGGTTCACATCTTCCATGATTTCTTTACTATGGTACACTCTCCTACAATACTTTAAACTGTCTGCCAGTATATGACCCAAAACCTTTTTATTCGCATTACGGTGGTTTGGGTGCACTTGGGACCTTGAAACATGTGTGTTCATCGTGGAGCTTCCGTACCTGAAAAATACTAGTACCATCGATGGAAACAGCCATCAAACGCCAATCATAGTCCGAATCTGAGTGACACACCACCTCGTACCGATGTTTGGAAGATTTCTTTACTTTCATCTGAAAGTTTTCATGAACGCACTTTAATCTGAAAGTTTTCATGAACGCACTTTAATCCCACTGCGAGCTTAAGTGCTTCCTTCGAGTCAAAGGTTTGTAGAACTTTGACATGGGATGTAGGCTGGTAGAAAATGTTTCCCTGTCTACTTTTGATAACTGGGTCCGGAAAAGGTGGTGGGTCAGGCATACGCCAAAAACTATTCCTTACCGGCTTGATATCTTCAGAATCGGAGTTATCGTCGTCTTCGGGTATGTTCAAAATTTCGGCAGCAATAGAAATATCTTCTGACATATCTACCTCCCACAACGGTTTTGACAGTTCGGGAGACCGGATCGGGTACGGGTTGGGAGACTGCATCGGAGGCATGTTCAAGTCTTGAACAAAATAACTGTCAGGTTCAATGGTAACTTTTTGTTCAAGATATGAATTTCCCGCGCCATCGTAAGGGAAGAAGATGCTTCGATTTTCAACACTTCCACCATTAGGAAAGAAAGTGCTCTGATTTACACCAAGAGCACAACCGGTAGGGAAGAGTGTGCTTGGACCATATGGGTTTGCACCGCTAACGTCGGAGAAGAGTGTGCTCACAGCACCGGGGTAAAAAGTGTTTGGACCGCCCGGGTTTGAACTTGTGATGGATTTCCTTCATAACCTCCATTGTCGACCACATATAGTGTCAACATTTCTGGTAAAGTTTGACGAATGGCGTTGTGGAGGATTACCACATCATCGTCGTTCACAAACTGATATAACGTATTCGTTTTGAAAAATAAATTGAAAGGACCACGTAAACTTAACTTTTTCGTCACACGTTTGACGACCCCAGAATACGTTATTGGCAAAAACAAACGTATTGCACATGTGGGGGAGGTTATCGGAAGGTACTCTAAAACACCATTTATATCTTGGAATAAACCGCCACTTCGAAGATACACACAAATATCATCATTTTGACGTGATTTCATGTTTTGTGATGGTTGATTGTGTTTAATGGGTTAAGGGTTGTGAGAGKAGAATATATGAGAAGAGAAATGAAAGGGAAGGTGTGAAAAATTATGAAGTAGGAGGTTGGTATTTATAGTGAAATTGGAGGTAGAAAAAAATGAAAAAAAAAATAAGAGATGTACGGGTTTATATCTGATTTACGAAACCCAAATCTGATAAAAATAATTTTTGCGTCTCCATAATTATAATGGTTTATTTTTAAACCTTTACCCATGAAATTTGATTCTAAAAAAGTTAAAAAATACAATTTAAATGGGATACCAGTTTTATTAAAAATACCACAAAACAAAAAAAAAATCACAAAAAAAAAAGATTAAAAGGCTGGATCGCCCCTGGGGGTGATGGGACAGTCTGGATCGCCCCCTAGGGCGAGGTCAAACCCGGTATTCGAGGGTGAACAGTAATTTCGTCTTTTAAGGAATTTTTTTTAAGGGTCTCAATGGGGGATTTCCCCCCCCCCCCCCCAAACATGTATGGATCGCCCCCGGGGGCGATTTGGGTGGTCAAATACTCAAAACCTCTATAAAACTGGTTATTTTGCGGCAAAATGTTGTATAAAATGGTTATTTTTATAAATTTCCCGAACCGGGTGGTCGTTTTGACAATTTTGCTAAAAAATAGTTACTTTGTTAATATATCGGATATATTTTGATCATTTTGGTGATTTTTGTTTGATTAAAACACCTGATTTCTTTTTATGTTGTTGTTCCCAAGATTATAATCACTTTGTATAATTGGAGGCCTGTTTTCGTCTTTTAGGTTGGTGGATTTATTGAGATCATAAATAATACTAACACATATTATTGCATTTGTTTTGCTTTGATTATTGGGTTTTAAAAGAAATTGTAAAAGAAATTAACCGTCAGGTTAATTTAAAGGTGGTGAGGTGGGTTTTAAAAGAAATTGTAAAAAATGGTGGGTTTCAAGATGTTTGTCAATTGCACATCAATTCAATACGCCACATTCAAAACAAAACCAAAATACACATATGTAGCAGTCATCCTACCACTCTAGTAGTCATTAACTTCACATATATCCAATACCTACCTACTCACTCTACCACCAAATGCTTTCCATCAAACATACATATTCTATTATAAACTTACATAACAATATGAATGTTGCTTTCAAATGAAATCTGTTGTTATTAAAGGAATAAGAATTTGAAACACACATTACTCATCATCATCATCATCATCATCATCATCATCATCATCATCATATATATATATATATATATATATTAAGAAGCTCCAAACAGAGACTTCTTGTATGTTCCTGTATCAAAATTTCATGCTGAAAGATGCAAGTAACTTCAAGTTACCAGGGTCAAAGTTTCACTTCTAGAGTTCTACTAGTAGTCCATTATCTCTCCTCATATTATAATTATATCATATACCTCAATCTATTAATGTTGTAGTTTGAACTTCTCTTATTTTTTTCATCATATATTGAGATTTCAGGAGATATTGTTGCTTGAATGAATCTATGTATAATGTTGTCGATCAATATAAATCAATATTTGCTCGCATTTTATATTGGATTATAAACTATTGAAGTGAAGTCCCCATTCTTTAGTCTCTTCTATGAACAAACATAAAGCTAATATCTTTCATGATTAACCACATACTCTCACAACTATCCAATTCCACCTCAATTCTATGCTTGATACCCAACATAAAGCTAAAAGCTTTCCTTAAATTTTAAAAAAATGTTACATCTAACACTTCTAAGTAATCTTTTCAGAACAACCTAATTTCTCCTTCAAAGTCAATGGATTCTAATGATCAAGCTTGGATAGTAAGTAGAAATCGCATAAGTCAAGAGTACAGACTTGGTTTGAACAATTTTCTAGCTACTGCTAGACGTCACTTGGGTTTAGATGGAAGGACATTATGTCCTTGTAATAGATGTGAAAACACATGGCTACAACGACTCCCCATGATTCGAGCTCATATCCTACGGTATGGTATGCTTGCAACATACCAAAGGTGGATCCATCATGGTGAATCTCTTAGTGACGAAGAAGAACACGAGCACTTTGAAGATTCGTCGAATAGTGACGAAGATGACCATACTTTGAGGGATGCTATTATGGATGAAGAAGGACGCATGTTTTTTTAATGTTGATCGTTCAACTGAAAATGACATTAAGGATAAGTCTGATGTTAACCGTGGTCGTTTTGACAAGTTCATTGAGCAACTTAACTAGGAACTATATCCAGGATCAGGGAATATGACATTACTACAATCGAGGACTTTTCTTGCATGGTTCAAGATGAAGGTAAAGATGGACCATTTGTAAAGAACATGTTACACATTGTTTTAATACTATGATTAACTAAAGCATTTTTTATACATGGAGGAACTACGTCATGAGGGTTCAACTGAGGAAACAGATGATATGTATTCATTGGCTCTTGGCCCATTTGATCGATATACTAGTTGGACAAGTTGTATCGTAAGTGGTGTACGTTTCCATTCACATTGTAGAGATGTTAAACTTCACACTCAAAATTGTGGATTTCTGCTCTAAACAACCATGATGGTGAGGAAGTAGATTTCTATGGAGTTTTGTTAGAGGTTATGGAGTTATCATATATACTTGGTAGAAAAGTGGTCTTCTTCTGGTGCAAGTGGTATAACATTGACAAGAGATTGAGAAACATTCACTATGAAAATGATTTGACAAGTATTAAAATAAGTTCTGAGTGGTACGTTAATGATCCATATATTTTGGCAACACAAGCACAACAAGTATTTTATTTGGTAGATAAAAAGAGAGAAAAAAATTGGAGGTTTGTGCAGAAAATTTTACCTCATCACATATGGGACGTTCCAATTGTTGATGCTATTAGTGAATCAAATACATTATCATCAATATTCTTCGCATCAGAAAATGGCATTGATGATATAATGTTAGTTA